ATCTTACCGAGTTCTAACCACAAAGAATGCTTTTTCATCACGCCCTCACTCGAAAAGATTAAGAGTTAGATACACAGAATACTTCACCGCCCATCAAGCGAAAAGTATCCTCACCTCATCATTGGAGCCGACAGTGAAGTCGTTGAGGGATGCCACCCAGCTAGCCAAGAGTTCGTTGAGGATCACCAGATCGTAGTGCAGCCACACAATGAGTTCGTTGACCCAGCGCACGGCCTCGGTGTCGGCTCCGGTCGCGGTCGGCAGATGCAGAGCCCTGGAGCTCCTGGACGGGCTGATGAGGGCACCGGAGGTCTTCCTGGTCAGGCGTTTCCTCACCGGCGGTGTCGGCGGCACGTAGCCGGCCGTCGAAGGAGACGGTGATCTCGTTACCACACTGGTACCGCCACTACCACCACCACTGCCAGCACCAGCACCACCAACACCACCTACAGCACCGATAACACCACCGCCGCTGCTGCTGCTACCACCACCAGCAGCAGCAGCACCAGCACCACCGGCGGCGGCGGCGACGGAAGTACCGCCGCCACCTGCACCACCGGTACCTGCTCTCGACAAGGACGTCGACGACGGTGATACCGACTTGGACTTGTCGAAGAGCCTTCCAGCGGCTCCGACAGCTCCGACGGCACTCGCTATCACAACACTCTCGCCGTGGTAGGCATGGCCGTCTTTGCCATGCTGCGCCGACGACGACGACGAAGTGCTGGCGAGCTCGTTCAGCACGAAGCGATTGTACACGTACTTGCCGACACACAGCACCACCAGACCGAACAGCATCCAGCCGAATATCAGCATCGACAGCGTATCCATGGTCGTCTCACCAGCCGAGTCGAAACTGCATATCAGATCGTCCACCCGCTCGGCCAAGTCGGCCATATTGCCCCATCGTTCTGCCAACCAAGTCCAATTGGATTCCAAAAACATTCTTTTCTATTTTCACCCGCGAGCGCTCGGCACCCCACCACCGCTCTATACTTGGCTATTAATACACCGCGCATATACCCTGGCTCCCCCGGACTACACGCCACTGGTTGTCCTCGACGCCGTCGTCGTCGTCGTTGTCGGCGTCGTCTGCTCGCACGTTCACCGTCTTCCGGATCCGCGACCTACGGAAGTCGCGTTCGCGCTCCGCCGTGCTCGAGCAGTGCTGCTGCGATTAAAAGTGACCAGGTAAATCGTATCGCTTCAAGCTTGACTGTTCTCTTCGACTTCTTTCAGTAGCCTTCCACTAGCCTGATCCAATCTCTATCTCGTGGAGTCTGCAATCTGCTAAATCGCCCCTAAGTTTCAATTAGTCGATGGAAAGGTTGATCAATGACACTTCTTCAGCGTCATTGCAGCGATGATGCTGATCAGAGATGACCAAGTCAGTTATACTGCTTCAAGGTCGGTTCTTCTCTTCGACGTTTTACAGCATCTTGACTGACTTAACCTTTATTATGACCAATTCGTGGGGTCAGTAATCGGCAAAATCGCCGATTTCTTCTAGTCTGAGACTTATGAGCTTCGATTGTCCAACTGGAAGATCGATCAACCGTGCTGCGAAGCCGCACACTTCCTTCGCGACCTCGCTTGTAGTCGACCTTGATAATGAACTCTTTTCGTCGGTAGCGCCAAGTCGTGGTGCTATCTTCTACGCGACACAGTCTATCTACGTGGAACAGTAGAGACTAAGAGGAACATAACAATGAAGCTGTTTATGAATGGTATCTTCGAGACCTCGTTACTAGGTTAGATCCTTCTTCGGAAACTGAGATTAATTAAAGTTGCTGCGCGTCGATAATCGTTGTAGTCTGCCTGTACGGGATGAGATCGAACTGAAACAAGAAAGATTCGATGCGTTAGGCGATTAGTTGTTACGACGATGAAAGAAGGAGCTTATTAACTGCCATCAACCGCTAATATTGTCGTAAATAAAAAGCAATTACGTGATACGCCTACGCACGTTATTGCACACGCGATTTTGTACATGGAAAAATCCCGTTGTGCCAGTAGAATTGACAATATTAGAGCCATAATTAAGGTAAACTTTCTTGATTCGATAACCATGTTATATCGAGAATAATACGTCGTATATATATTGTTTTAACTTTGACAGAAAAATCGCCTCGTACTCTGGTGTAAAGTTCATTCTAGTGTAAAGTTCAATTTACTTCCAAAATATTCCCCGAAATTATGCACAAAAACTACGTTAGAAATAAAACAAAATAGATAATAATAATTAGAACGATAAGTGATTTAATATTTCTTGCGATTTTAATATTTTAGGACTCTTTATTTCCCCTTATCTCGTATCAATAATAATTTCTGAACATAAGCTGAGGCTAAGAAAATAATTTGCAAAATATAGACATTTCATACATGGTAAACAAATTGCAACAGTTGTCATAATTTTTCCAAACTTATAATTGCCTAAAGACAGATACATTATAATTATTACTTATACCTCAATAGACTGATAGTACGTAAATTTTACAGCAACTTTAAGTATATTAAATCACGAAATTCAACAACAATGAGACCCTTATGAGTGATCAGATTACACTCATATTTATCATATAAAGTGACAAAATAGAAGTACAAAAGAAATACGAAAGAAAATTATCAAAATTTGCCTTAAACAATACGTCATATTAAATATAACATAAAAATTTAAGTATAGTTTTTAATAAATGTCTTATTGCTTATGTCTTATATTAATACAACGTTCAAATTAAAATTTATAGTATAATATAAATTTCATTTAATATAATATATTAACTTCATAAAAAATTATAGAGTTTAATTAGTAAAGATAATTAATTTAATAGAATATATTGACTTTAAAAGAATTAAAATGACGTCATCGGGAATTCCATCGTTAAAACATTTTAAATCAATTTTTTAATAATATACGTCCAATATATGTCTAATAATATACATTCAAAATCGAGCATGTCACTGTCAGGATTAATAATCCTATTAGTATACAAGTATTAGTTTCAGTAATATTGTTATTGAATAAAAAAGATACTCGTCAATTGTCACTCAATTCTGTTCATACAACAGCTTTCCTTTTCTACGTAAACAGAGATTCTTCCGCGAATACAAAAGTACACTTCTCGTATCTGTTTCATATTTATCCGATACCGACATTGGTCTAATTCTATCAATATTTTTATCTAGGTTATCGGTTAGAGCTCGTATCGTTCACCTCCCGAAGATCATCGAAGACGAAAGTCTGCCAGGAAACAAACAAACATATTAAATTTGTCACTACGAAAACTCAGCTAGAGTTTCTAACCTTATCGAGCGATACTTTGTATTACAATGCGAGTAATAAATATTTTTAGCCGGCTATCGCCGTCTGTGGGTCGGTTAAGCGATAAAAGGTAACGACGAGCGGCCGCAATAACGAGAATTGCCGACCAACAGCCTTGACGATGTCTTATCACTCGACTGCTATAATTTTTGCAAGATAGAAGGAGAAAGGATAAGAGAGAGAGGGAGAGAGAGGGAGAAAATGTATTATTTATTATGCGCTTTAGATGCTATCTTCTTAAGCGCAGAAAAAAACTTGCACGCAATATACTAATAATACACAATACAATAAAAGATTAGCAGTATTATGAGATATTATATGTGAGTAAGGTGAGTTCATGTGAAGAAATATGAAGTAAAGCGAAATGTCTAGTAGTCGGCATTCGATCTGTTTTCGATACTTCTGCGCGATTTTACCAAATATTAAGATGTATTAGGATTTATTAAATATTTATAATTAATTATTCATTATTATTTATTATTTAATTATTCTCTTAAGTTCTCGTGCACTCTTTAATATTTGATAAAATTCGTGCATATAAGTTTCGGAAACAAATCGACTGCTAGCTGAACGTTTAACTTTATTTTGTTAGAGAAAAAAAGAGAATGTTTTGTAATGAAGAAAGAGTCAAATGATGAAAAAGATAAAGGAATAAAAAAATTAATTCAAACTTGGAAAACCCTTTTAAATGTATGGTAATTAGAATATAAATCTAGTAATTTATGAAAAAAATGTTGAAAAAAATAAAAAAGAGAGAAACTGCTTCTTTAATTTTTTATAAAGTAAGAAATTTTCACACATACCGATATCTAGTTACTATATCATTAATTATTATATTATTAATTATATAATATATAAAATCTTATATACAGAGTGGCCCACGTAAAGTGTTACAAGCTAATAACTCTAAACATATTTGTCCTATCAAAAAGTTGTTCATGAAAAAGTTTCATATATTCGAGGGACCTTTCTAATTACATAAACAAAAATCCACTTCCGTCTCCCCTTGAAGAGGGGCGGGGGATAACTTCAAAGTTTCAAATGGAACCTTCTATACAATGTTACATATTTGGATTCTACGGGAAAAAACAAGTAAACTTTGTCTGAAACATTTCTTTGGAAAATGCTTTTATCAAAAGTTATAAAAATTTAAACTTTAATATAGAATACATTGAAATTAATGATAAATTAAATAAGACTCATAGTTTTTCTGTTTTGTTTTATTTTATTAAATGTTCGAACTGTTGACCATTAACATCTAAATACTTATTAATTTTTTTTACAAAACTTTGCCTAACTCTAACTTTGCCTAAACAACATTTCTGGGGTCACCTTAGTGCAAGCTAAGAGTTAGGCAAAGTTTTGTAAAAAGAATTAATAAGTGTTTAGATGTTAATGGTCAATAGTTCGAACATTTAATAAAATAAAACAGAAAAATTATGAGTCTTATTTAATTTATCATTAATTTCAATGCACTCTACATTAAAGTTTAAATGTTTATAACTTTTGATAGGAGCATTTTCCAAAGAAATGTTTCAGACAAAGTTTACTTGCTTTTTCCCGTAAAATCCAAATATATAACATTATATAGGGGGTCCCATTTGAAACTTTGAAGTTACCCCCCGCCCTCTTCAAGGGGGGACGGAAGTGGATTTTTGTTTACGTAGTTAGAAGGGCTCCTCGAATATATGAAACTTTCTCATGAACAACTTTTTGATAGGACAAATATGTTTAGAGTTATTAACTTGTAACACTTTACGTGGGCGACCTTGTATATTATAATCTATTATTACTTTTTCATTATCTATACTGGATGTAATTATTTGCTTGATTGATATTTAGAATACTATTAAATATCTCACATCCTCCTGTATACCCAATAGATTTTCCTCGAAATATTAAGTAAACAAATTGATTGAATTGTTTACCGCTAGATGGTGTGACGATTGTTTTCTTTTCTCGCGGTCTAAATATATTCATTATTACTATAAAAAGGAAAAGGGATTCGATTATTTGTTCGATTAATATTTAGAAAGATGTATCATGTTTTACTCCTGGATATCCAATAAATTCTCCTAAAAATATTATGTAAAAAAAACTGATTGAACTGCTTACCGCTAAGTTCTTTCTTGCAATTCAAATTTATTCATTACTATTATAACAAGGGAAAAGGGATATATAGAAACATTGTCAGATGCACTTACACGAAACACATTCAATTTTTAGAAATCGGTACAACGATACACCGTCTTAATTCATAATAATTGTGACAAAAACAAAATCTTATCTTGATTGAATATTTTGAATATTTTAAGGCAATGAGAATAACGCACTATATTATTTAGACAAACCATCTAGCAGTTGCTGTTAGCATTTAGAGCGATAAATAAACACAGATATTCGGAATTTAAAAGCACATTTAAAATACCTATACGCTTTATCAAAGGAATTATATAATCTTTACATATTTTTAACACAGACAAGATGAAAAAGTAAAAATTAAAAAGAGAGAGAGAAGTGAAAAGAAAAAGATGAAATAAAAAGAAAAAGAAACAGCAACAGAATAAAAGAAAAACGCGAATATCGTTTCGGAGGAAAGTATCGTTGCTCACATCGTGAAGAATTATTGGCCCGTGTTGCAAGTCATAGCTCGTCAATTGATTCAAATGATTCTATCACGCTGTCATGATCCACAAGCAGGATCAATGAATCGGGTCAATAGCAAAGAAAACATCGAAGGACATGCGCAATGTAGCCAGATTGAGCATCCGTGCATATTTCTTCTTGACTTTTCGTCAAAAGAACGTTTCTCACCGTCTCTTCGACACGTCAAATGATGTATGATCGATACCCAAACTGAACAGAAAATCACGATGACGTCAAATAAAGTCAAAACAATGAAAAAAAGATGGAATCATAATTGATAGAATCGTGAGCTTTTTCCAGTTATTTTCAATTTTGATTTTTTGTTTTGTCTGGGTAGATTCGCTGACCGACAAAAATCCAGGTAGAACGAATAGTCAAAATAATGTCAATCTAACGTCATTTTGACTAAATATTGACCAAATTTCGTCAAAATTACATCAGATTGATATTATTATCTGTTCTATCTGGAAAACCAATTTTGGCAGGACACAAAAATCACTTTACTTTCACTTTAAAACTTAGGCTTTTATAACTTTTGTCACTAAACTACACTCTTTTTACATTCCTTGTATATTACAAGATCACTCAATGCAAAAAATACGAAACAAAATGACAAAGTAACACAGCTAGCATTCATTGTCGTACTCATCGCCAATAGTTTTGTATAATTTTGCAACAGATATACTTGCAAACGAGTGATTCTCTTCAAAAGTATATTGATTTCCTCTAAACTTTCGTTTTTTCTGCCTTCCTCTCTTCACTTCTTGTTGTTTAGAACCTTTCTTATCCATCGTAATAAACGTGAAATGTCCGCAGCGTTTGGAAGTTCAAAACACACTGCCGTTATACTTTCAACTGGTTTTGTTCTCTTCTATCGTAGGAATATATATATATATATATATATATATATATATATATATATATATGTATGTATGTATGTATGAACTCTTTAGAAAACGTACAAAAAAATTCAAGACTCAAAGAAAAGATGTTGAGGTGTAAGCAAAGACCTTTGCGAGATTTAATAACGATATTTCAGGCCGGCGCGCCTTTGTATTCAAACCGCTCCTGCTCCGTCAATTTTTCGATATTCTCCTACCTTCACACAAATATTTTCAAATGTACATATTTTAAGAATGCAATAAAAAATGACCAAAATTTTTTTCCACATAATTCTCCCTTAAAAGCGAAACGGCCAATATCTGGTGAACGTTTCGCTGCGAGCACCGTTACACTTTCGCCACATCGGCCAATACGTGGAAAGTGTGCGCGTTCACTTTTAATCGCGGTTACCGTGTAGCCGGGTCAGTGCGCGCGTTGACTTCTTATCTGCTTATCTCCCTCTCCCCTTGTCTCTCTCACTCTCTCTCTCTCTCTCTCTCTCTCGTGTTGCGTGCCGCAAATCCGGCCTACTATTTCAATCTATCGCACCTGTGCCATATCTCGCTCTACGAGACTTCGAAGTGTCCTGTTGACGACTCGACGCGAACAGCGTCTTCCCACGAGGACTTCTCGATCGGGAGTGTCGCTTCGAAGTAGGCCAGACGTTCCAGCATCTTCTGTAGCTAGAAGAAAAAAAGGGAAACACGTGACTATGTGTGTGTATATATATATATATATATATATATATATATATATATATATATATATATATATATAACATCGCACATTCATGCCGACGCTTATGTCACGTTCACTCAGCAGCGAAAAAAATCGATGATTTAAACATTAAGGCTAAATGAGACGAGAAAAATAATTAATAGATTGCTTATTTTATGGTCGTTTTAAACGTTTAATTTTTTTTTAATCGTTTTTGTCATATATTGAACAATGTTTCAATTCACTTCTGTTTCATTGTAATTTCATTCTATAAAATCATTTATAATTCTGTGTAATCAATACGGCATAAACTTTGCAAACAAATCATTGTTCATGATTTTATGAAGATTACAGAGAAAAGTAGAGTATAAATTGTTACTTCTCGTGCAATTCGATTGGAGTGCGATAAAATCATCCAAAATCTTAAAAAAAGAGGTACACATACCTCAAAAATCACATAAAAACTTATTTTCTAATCGCTATTTTGAGATAAAAAATATTTACTATTTTTTCTAGCGCACCCAAGAACCACAGCTTAAAAATCAGACAAAACTACTGAAAAGCGAGGTTTTACAGCATAAAAACCTTCAGAAATATTTTCTCCTTCATAAAAAACAACAGCATTTCTGGCGCACCCGAGGTCGGGAGATCCAAAATCAAGCAAAACCACCTAAAAAATTCGCAAGGTAATTTATCCTAAAAATCCTTAAAACCTTCTTCCACCAAGAAAATTGTTATCGAGATTTCTGACATATCTGGGATCGGAAGATTATAAATTAAATAAAGCCCACCTCAAAATCAAGGTATAAAACGCAGAGGTTTTTATATCCTAAAAACTATCAAAAACATTATCCAGCTGCCTCTATGAAAATTGTTGTCAAAGTTTCTAGAGCATTCGGCACTGGAAGATTAAAAACAGAATAAAACAAAAATTAGGCTCAGAAACATCAAAAACAGGTTCCAAATCCTTAATTGAGCAAAAAAGTTAGATCTCCAAGGAATTTCAGCTTTTGAGCGGTTTTGCCGAGTGTTGACAAATTGAAATTTTAAACCGCTTAAGTTTAACGTTCTAGTTTATATGCAAAGTAGGCATTTGTTGTGATGACTATATATATTTTAAGTAATTGGTCGCTTATATTTATGTTTATATTGCCACAATTAGCAGTGTTTCGTTATTATCCTCAATTTTAAAATCACCTCCGGCTATCACATCGGAACCCTTCTGTGAATTAATTAACTAATAGTAAGTGTTAAAACGCCCTTTAATGTAATAGTAAGTGTTAAAACGATCCTTTCTTTCCCTTTATCCTCTTGCAATACTGTTCCTGTACATTAATCATTGATATTTTATGTTGACAGAACAGAAAAAGTATCCATAACTCGATCAAAATTCAATGAACATAACGAATTAAACGTAAATAATTGTCATTAATATCGTTTTATTCATGTTAAACACGTTTCTTTATTAGCAGTGGCGCAATAAAGATTATTACTATTTGCAGGTACAATTTCTAAAAAAAAAAATTAAAGAGGACAATGATAGTTTAATTATATATAGTTATCGAACGTATTGAAGCTCGAATTAATATCCTAACCGCGCAAATAGAGTCCTTACACACGGAGATAACTTCGCTGAAAACAGATATGAGCTCACCGGGAAACCGCATTACTAATGAAATAACTCAAACTTTAAAGAATTCTATTAAATAATAATAGAAAGTGAAGTGAAGCGGACCAAACGTGAAACTGCGAAGCTCCTTGTTCATTCGTAAATATTGCATTTTTTTATCAAATGACATTATTTCAACTAGCTCTGCCTTTGTTATGTAGAATTACAAAAGTAATGTATCTTTCTATTTTCTCTGTTTCAGAAACTGACGAAAAGTATATAATAAAAGTATGTAATAAACATGGGAATGAACACGTGCCACAGTTGACATATCATGCACTGAGAGAAAAGACTGGTAACTATAACAAACTGCATTTAGTTACAGAAATTCGTTGAATGCTTAGTAACTAATACCAAATGTGATAATAATTACCAAATATTTAATAGATCGGGAGTATGACGTAATTGCATTCACAGTAATATCAATTAAATAATTTAGTAATAGTTACTTAATGTTAAATATTTAATATGAAATATATTACAGTTATGAACAGATATTTGATAATTGTTATGAAATTGTTATATCTCATGTAATAAAAGATTCAATAGGTACGAGTTCTATTTTGTTACCAGTATAAGTATGTTTTGTTGCAGCACAACGAAAAATTCATTCATTTGCAACTATTACATCGTTTCAATATCTATTATTACAGATGGTTGGTTGAACCTACCAAAAATTTTGTAACTATTACAAATCGCTTATTTTGCTCAACTATTCAATAAGTTTTATTTACCAAATATATTCTGGAAGCAAATAAATTTTACTTCTGTCAAATAAATAATTTATTTTACAGAACTAAATTAATTAATAAGTATTGCCATAACTTTAGCCCGCTATATTTACGTCTACTATTTAGTAATAGTAACCAAATTTTGATAACATTTACTAAATTCTTCTCTCAGTGTGCGGAGATCGCGCGCGCGAATTTTAACATTAAATATAACCATTCGATTCTAAATATATATTATTCTTAAATTAATTTGTGACTTTCTTCCTTTAAGTCCCTCGTGGACTTAGAGGCTCACGTTATGAGTGTCACAAGCGTGACTAAAGGTCTCCGTACGAGAACATCTGTAACATGTTATGTTACGTTAAGTACTGACAATGCAATTGTCGTAAAATTAAACCTTGACTTAAGTCAAGGCACAAAGAATCCGTAAACTTAACATGTTACGGATGTTCCTGTGTGGAGAGCCTAAGTCCTGCAGGACTTAGAATAATATCTGCATCTGTGCTCAAGATATCGCAGGAGAAAGCGTCCACACAGTGGTGGAGACTGCAGACTAAGGATCTCCGCACAAAAACATCCGCAACATGTTACGTTACGTTAAGTACTGACAATTCAATGGCTATACCTGTACGTAAAATTAAACTTAAGTCAAAACACAAAGAAATCCGTAAACTTAACATGTTACAGATATTCCTGTATAGAGACCCTAATCCATAAAGATCTCACGGACCTTCCTTTCACCAACCGGTAATGTCGAGGAAGCGGAGAACCAAAAACAGCTCGAATAAGAAGCTTCCTAAGGTGTTGCAAAGCACGACGTATATGGAACAACGTCAAAATGAGGCAAAAATGAGGAGAAAATTACTAAAAGTTCATTTTTCGATCACAATTCGATTATTTTGATTTCGTCATCATAAATTTCTGTTCTATTTGAAACACATCGTACAGTAAACTACTTTAACTACTGAATAAGTTCTTGTCTAGTTCCTACGCAGTATTTTTATAACTAATATAAATGCAATAATACTTGACAACAACTCAGCGGACTATAAAAACTGCTATATTTTCACCAGGATAAAGTGAGTTGTAAAGCGATTTCGACGCAATGAAGTTGTGAGCTCACCAAATTATTAAAATTGTATTATTGCGACAGGCCTAGTAATTATATTATTATTATTATTAATTATTATTAATGTTACTATTATTTATTAGTATTTAGTGTTCTTAATTATACTATTAATTATATCATATTATATGTATATATATATATATATATATATATATATATATATATATATATATATATATATATATATATATAATATATATTATATTATTTATATTATATTATTATTGTGTAATCCGTCGGTAACATCCTTCAATTTTGACAAATTAGTGAGCTTTCAACTTCATTGTGTCTAAACAATTTTGCAATCCACTGTACAAGAAATAAAAAAAAGAGTATAACCTTATAAGTGACGATCGTCGTACGTTAAATTTATATAGCTACGACATTATTGGAGCTCGTCATTCGCTTTGACATTCTATTAAGTTACCCACAGCAGTTGAGCCAAAAAATGTGACGTCAGGAAATATATCCGCGACTTTTTAAGATAAATAACACTTCCATATCGTGGGCGAATAAACAAATTGTGGATGGAAGCTAAACCGCTTATTTGCTTATTGTTATTTTTCATTGTTATTGTGGAGAGATATCTCTCTGTTACTAAAATTTTGATTTAATTAAAAAATCAAGTTAATTTGAATTGAATCTACTCATTAATTTTAACTTAATGCAAAATTAACTAAATAATTTTTTCTTTCGAAGTCAGAATTTTAACCAATTTAGTTAAATAATTTAGAACAGTAATTTTTCGAGAGAGACAATCTATTGACTCAGGCGTGATTCTCCGCGATCTATTAAATCGTAACTCTCGATACGGCGCCATTGATCGACTCTAGAATAAAGCCCTCGAGTTCGTTCACGAAAATGGTTTCTACGCGTATCAAGTAGTCTCATTGGTAACGACTACTACAGAGGCGTTTTACTTAGTATATGTACACAAATACACACGTATGTATGACGATCGTAAAACCGCTCCAAATATGCTTCTGGATATCGATTAATCCGCCGAAGGGCAAAGCGACTTTTGTCACGCAAAATGAGGGAAATTCTTAGTGTCTCCGGCTAAAGTATACTAACACTTCGGTAAAACAGCGTTGGATATTAATCGACTAAAATTTGACTAGAATCAATAATACAAGTTAATCAAGTGTCACATATGTACACTATCACAAATGATTCAGTTAATTAATGAAATGAATTATTAAACAAACCTTGATTTGACTAATTACACACGAAATGTCAACACAAAAATTAAATCCTCAATCTAAACCGTCAATTGTAATTAATTTTGTGCTGCTGTTCACAAATAGGAGAAACCGGGTCCAGATGGCCCCAGAAGTATTGCTCGCATATGTGCCTTTTTTAATATTTATTTTGAGAGGAGCAGCGGATACAAAATTCCGAAATAAATCTTTTAAAATGCAGATACTTCTCCTTGAGTTTTATTAAATTTGAAATAATATTATTATTAAAAAATAGAGAAAAACTAATTTAGCAATAGCAAAGTAAATTTTCGATTCTCTCGAAATCTTGTGTTAGTATTCTCTCCATCGGATGAATAAAGTTATGCGACGTGTTACTAGCTAGAATGAAATTCCTTGGAAGTCTATTATATACCGTTTCGGATAATAAAAACTATTTTTCTACTTCGAGCTGATATGTATGGCAACTCTAAAAGATTTGAGAATAAGATATCTCTACTTTAATTTCCTGTATGCAAAGATAGCGACCTCGAATTTTATTTTTCCGTTGCAACTACTTTTATTTCAGAAACGTTAAAATCCGTCTGAAAATTTAACTTTAAATTTAAATTTAAATTTAAATCTTCAAATTTAAAAAGAATTTTAGTTTTTCTAACAATATATGAACTTAAAAATAAACAAACGATTTAGGGTCGTTGTTAGTGGAAGATTGATTCATTGCGTTGTAAAGATCGGAAAATAGTTTGGCGCGTGCGTTTGACACTACAAACATTATTATCCTCCCCATCATAGACATTTGCAAAAAAACATCCACAATCGGCTCTTAATAGCCTTATTCCTTTCAAATAAAAATAAACAAGTTGTAGTAAAAATATATACTATTAATTTATATTTTTATATACATGATACTGTTAATTTACAATTAATTAAAACAAAATTAAAATATAGTCTATATTTTAACATTTTACAATCTACATCTAACATAAAAAGGAAAATCGAAATTCAAGAGATATGAAGTATGATGCAATCTGTGATTAATTCATTGATTAAAAATTAATTTTATCGATCGACATATCAAATTATTCGTAATTATATATTTTACAAAGATTAAATCATTTTAATTATTAATATGTATATTATTTTAGTCAAGTATAATTTCAATCGATTAATGCTTAAAACTCATAAAATGTCCTGTCAAGACCGAAAAAATGTTTTAATGTGCGTTACATCATCGACATTATTACCCTTCCGCAAAATGTCATTCATTGCAGCCATCAATGCGTTCATTCTTATAGGCCGTTTACCTTTTAACCTTCCGCCAGGCGCGGGTCTTTCATGAAAATGTCATTAAACATTTTACTAATTAAAAAGAAAACATTACATTTTTAAAGAACACAATCTTGTACCAGTTTTCACAATTTTAAGATTTCTAACGATTTTAGAAGTTAACGTGGAAACCTGATTGATTGAGACAATAATCATACTTCTTTTTTATTTTTTATCTCTCTACAGTTATACAGTTAGTTACCTACCTAATTTGTTTTTTCCGCGCCAATTTTTAATATTGCTAGAATATTAAGATAAGATTATAGATACATAGAAAGATTGGTACAAAATTATTTCATACCTTTTAGAGCTTTTGACATTTTCAAGGTTTTTTTAAAATGTTTTATTTCATATTTTTTTAATTATTTACTAAAGTTTGTTTTTTTGAAGTCAGTTAAAAGAAATTTCTTTGGAATTTGGTTAAAAATAATAGTCTCGTCTTGTATCTCTACATGCTCTCGAATTTTCAAAAAAAGTAATGGAATCACTTAATTTCCAGTTTGCCTGGACAAATTCGGGTGATGACCAATCTATAAACCATGTACATAACATGCTGAACAAGCTACAAAAAATTTCACCTCATTATCTGTAATGGTTCTCGAGTTATGAAAGAACATACAAACGCACGTAATGATAAACTGAGAACCTTAGTTTTTCTGAAGCCAATTAAAAAACACAACACTTATCACTCTACCCCCACTTTGCATTGTACCAAAATGGATCACTGAGAATCTCTCCTATTGAGAGAAAAAGAAAGAGAAAGAGAGAGAGAAATGATTGATCTAACTAAAATTATAGAGTTATTTTTAGCCTCAACCATATTTTTTGGTTGTCCCAGCAAAAGTGCAATAACAGTACATGTATATAAGATTAATGCCACTAACATTACAATAGAATTTAATAAAAAAAAAACAGTTTTCTTGACCACGATTTACAGTAATTCTATATACGATTATAATTACAAATACCTAAAATTCTTGTTCCACAGCAGGTACGCGCGCGCGACACACACTACCGAAAGATCAACGATTCTAATATTTTCATCCACTAATTTTATAAACAAACCGCAACTGAATGTACCGAGTGTCGTGTACAAAGCCGGAGCACTCCTCGCATCACGCAATCGCGCTATCTCCGCGCGCGCGCGCGCGCTCCATGCTGGCCGGAACGCCGCTCTTCGCGTCCGAATTAATTAATTTTCGAACGGCCAACGATATGAGGAAGCAGGAGAGACAACGTGTCGTTACACACTCATACATCCGTGCTCTCGTGGACCGCAGTATCTCTGCGCATTGCGTCCGTTTCGGACGCATTGACTCGGTCTCTCTCTCTCTCCCCTCTCTTTCACTCCTTCTCTCTCTCTCTCTCTCTCTCTCTCTCTCTCTCTCTCTCTCTCTCTCTCTCCCCCGC